ACTTGCAGCACACCATGGCTAGGGGGAGACAACATGCCTCAGTTCTAGCTTCAAGGTGATTCTTCTTGAGCATCAGAGGATCAAGCAGCAAGGTTAGAACGAAAAACAAGATCAAGCACTCCACTCGAAATCCCCCAAGCGATCATCCTTCCTTCTCCCTATTGGGAAACACTAGGGTGTCACCTAAGCACAACGGAAATAAAAGCAAAACCAAAATCTTCCCAAATCTATTTGAAATTCTTAGGAGCAAGCTAAATTGAGTCTAAAAATAATATGGCAGCAGCTGTAAAATATGCAGAACAATAGAAATGGAAAAGGCCAACCAACCACCACAAGAGACACAATATTTTTTCGTGGAAAACCCCAAAAAATGGGTAAAAAGCATGGGACATCCAGTCCACAAAAATAGCTCCACTATAATAAAAGTGAGCAGACAATATCCTCTTTCAAAAGGGGACAAAAATAGCACCAAATAAGAGGAACAATAGGCCACAAACCAACAAAGTAAAAGGGACCACAAGAAAACAGAGCACCAAAAATACAAGCTACTGTTCAAGGCACAAAAACTAAACCTACAAAGCTCCAAATGAAAAACTGACTGTTCAGATTGTAGATCAAAGTCTTGTGAAACCCCAGACCAGATTTCAGCTTAATCCAACGGTGAATGGATCGGACAATGTTGCAAAACTGTGCAGTGTACCAATCTACAAAATTCTCCCCTACGTTCTTTTCCCTTTTCTACCAGCTGGTCCTCACGTGTTCTCCACTTTTTGCTATCCAAATCAAAGTCCTATTTTTTTCTTAAAGGGCTGCAAAATGTGGCATCAAGTGGGCTTAACAAGTGTGGGCTTAGTCCACAAATATTAGTCATTTCTCCACATATGAGGGATAGGCCTAACCCAACACTCCCATCGCCACTTTCAAGTTTATTCTCTTTGATCTTGAAGGAACTTGAGAAGACAGATTGTTATATTTTTCATTTATAATATGAGGATTGCACATTACAGAGTGAGGATATTTACTAGAAATAATAAAGATCACATTTATTGCCATTATTACCATGTTGCAATAATTTATGTATAAATGCGACTCTCATGTTGTAATCTTTGATCCTTGCATATTCTTTGTCCATGCTGTTCCTGTCATGATATCCATCTCCTTATTACTCTTTTGATAATTGAGCAATCATCCTTGGTTCTTGAGATCCCATCCTTCCTTATTCGGCCCTTTTCTTCTCAGTTTGGCCAGAGGATTTGTGTTTAGCGACTTCGCTAGAAAATCTGTTGACAATTATCACCGTTGGATAGAATAGGATGGGCCATGGTGCATAGCCTCTTGCATGTAAAACGAGTGCCGCCAAAAGAACCTTCCTCATTTCTTCACGGGTGGTATCCAAGTTGGCCACCACTTTTTCTTCGCTGCTAACTCATCATCTTGCTCACCAACACACCCCAACAACTATTAATTTCAGATCCCTAAATCAAATAGTTCTTTAGAGTTTATCATCCTCAACCACTTTAATACAAACTTTTTAGAGTGTTGTGTTACATTGTGAAACATATTACTATACTTTATTACTAATAATCAAAGATTCACAATAATAACAAACAATATATTTTTAATGGATTACTCAATTGGTTAAAAATTTAAAATTTCAAGTTGAAGATTTCAAATTTGAATCTTGAATTAGATGAAAAGTAATTTAAAAAATAAGAAGGTTATTCTCTTTTATATAGTTTATTATTAGATCAACAATCTGTTGAATCAAGTTAGAAAATTGGGTTCCCTTTAAATAAAATTTTAAGTTTTAATCTTATAAATAGAGAAATATAGGTAGAAGAAGTTATCCTTTATGAGGTTTAATATGACTCGATTCCGAATATATCATAATTTAATATAACTTTCAGATACTAAGAGAGTAGTGTAAAGAAAATCTAATTCATTATCAAATTTATCCAAAAAAATATAAAAATTCACATTTTATCATTAACACAAAGTGTGAATGGGCATTTAAGAAATCCAAGAAATCCGCTTGATCGATTAGAAGATCATTAAAAATAAGGGAATGATAACTAGGTAAGAACTTATGTGCCTCTTCCGGAGAGCTGACACCCGACACCAGACGGAGGTTTGAATACTTGAACCGGGGTTGATGTTACACGACAACAATTCTAACACGAGCTTGACTTTATTGATCAAAAAAGGAAGAAGAGCATGATATTTTTCAAACGAAAATCAGCATAGACATGCCCCGGAAGTTACACAATTGACATTGCCGTGTTAAACGTGTCACTGTTTGGATCCCAAGTCAAGATTCGAGACCAAGAAGTCAAAGACGGCAGTTTCACAAATTGCCTTTAAAGAAAAATAATAATAATAAATTGTTTCCACTTATTCTTTTTCCATTGATTTCACCCACAACCCAAACTCTCGATTATTAAGAAATGTTTGTTTTTTTTTTTTTTTCTTCCCACAAATTTATCTTTAGAGATAGGAAATTAATTTTTATACATTTTTTATATAATGTAACGTGTTATTAAATAATTAATTTTTTTAATTTATTTGAAATTTATGATATTAAATATATTTACTTATTTAATAATATATAAAAATAAAATTTATAATATTAAATACATTCATTCATTTAATAATATATGAAAATAAATTTTATAATATTAAATATATTTACTTATTTAATTACATATAAAAATTATATAAAAATATAATATAAAAAAATTATTAATATAGTGCGGCGCTTAAAAATAACATTCCTTCCCTCAATTAGTGAAGTCAACCTTCACATCAGTGGTACTATCGTGGTTAAAAAATTAAAGATTTTTCTAATGCGGACTGTATAAAAAGGGCAGTCCGAGTTAGGAAGTACTAACAAATAAATACCGAACCACGTTGTAGTCACACTCAAAAAATGATTGAGGCGACACAAAATATAATATATGTTTAATTTATTTAAATTTATTACTTTATTATTAAAATCTTTAAAAATATTATTTTATAAATTAATTTTAAATTATTAAATAATAAATTATATATTTTTATATATTAATAGTTAATAATTATAATTATTAATTATTTTTAATAATTAAATTAAATATAATTATTTTATTTTATGTTATTTTAATTTTTTTAATAAAAATACCTTTTTATAAATCTTAATATATGCCCATTTAGAGTGAAAAAGATTTTTATGTTAGAACTGTTATGGACTTTTTTCTTTAATAATAATTGAAATAATCCAAGCATTAGTAGCTCAACTAAAACAGACGTTCTTTTATTATGCATTTATGCACTCAAAAGCATTAGTAGGATATCGAAAATATCAAAAGTATCCTCATTAATGATGCATGAGGATCAATAAAAATATTTTTAATTAAGAAATTTTTTAATTTGTGTGTTTAGAATATAAATAAGAATATAATTATTTTATTTTTTATATTAATTATTATTTAAAAATATAAAAATTGTTATTAATTTTATTATTAATATTACATAAATTATTTTAATTAAATAATTATTTAAATAAATTTCAATTTTTATTTTTTTAATATTAATTAATATTAAAAAGTGTAATAATTGTATTCTTAACTTATATTTAAAGGTAAAAATAAAAAAATTATTTAAAAATAAAAATAAAAATTATTTAAATATAAAAAATAAGAATATTTTTAGTTTTAAAAAAAACAAGTTAATAGTGTAATTAATGTATCTTTTTAATATTAATAAATATTGAAAAATAAAAATTAATCTTTATTTAATTAAAATAATTCATATTACATTAGCACTTAAATAAATGTCAATTTTTGTACTCTTTAATACTCCATTTGTTTATTTGTAGTAAATTTAGTTTAATTTTTTAATTTTTTAGAGATAAAATTTAAATAAAAATTTAACAATTTATATCAATAACAATTAAAAAGATTTTTTCCTTACGTAAGATTCTTATTAAGTATTTTTATTTAGTCTAAAAAATTTGTTAATTATTATTTATATAATAAATTAATTTTTTATTTAAATTTTGTGTTTAAAAAATAAAAAAATTAAATTAAATCTACTACAGGAAGTACCAAATAGAAAAACCCTAGCCTTCTTCCACCACAAGTCAATATTCCACCGTCAAAAACATTCTCCTCAACTAAATCGTTTGTCCATTTTTAATAATTTCTCAGGGAAGTGATGCAACCAAAACAGCCTTGTCCGGTTGTTCCTCCCCTCCAATACTCCACTAAATTTAGGGTTCGGTATCGGTCGGTCAGGACTGAACCGACCAATTCAGGTGGTTAACTGACTTTTTGATTGAAGAAAAGTAAGACCGATTACTAGATTAATGCCGGTTACATATTTAATTACTTATTTTTTACTTTTTAGGTTTTATTATTTTTCAATTTATATCTATTTTTATTTTTTTCAACCTTTAAAGAGAATTGACTCAACTCAAAAGTAATATTTTAAAGAAAAATTAAGTTAAAGAAGAGGGAATCCTTTTCAGTTTTTTTTTTTTACATAATAAAAA